AAGCCACCCGTGGCCTTGGATTCGCTACAGAGACAAAAGGAGTGAAGCCTCGTGGAAACCAAACACTCCTGCGGGGGGGCAGGGGGGAGGGCCCCCAGGTTTAGTTCTGTTCTCCCGTCCAGGCTGCCTCCCCGAGGCTTTTGCGCACCGAGGCTGGCTGGTTTGCAAATGAGAATCAGGTTAAGTTTGAAGGTGTGTTAAGTTTCCCATAGAAAACACCCTCCAAGCTTGCATATCAGACCCTGAATTTGATCTATTGGGATCAGCCACAGGGGACCCCCCCCCCCCCGTCATTTGTCTTATAGCTGGTTTTCTTTTTCTTTTCTGTTCCTCCACGCGCATAAATCCCACCCAGGATGGCCCATGGGGCTCAAGATAAGAGAAGCTTCTGAGCAGGAGGCCACAGCTCATCTTACTTAGAAACTCATCCCAAAGTCGTCCCTGTTCTCAAACTGAGGCCTCTGCTCACCTTCCGTGTTCCTGTCAAGGACACCGCTAAGCCATCATTCACTCCCCCTTCCCCCTCATCCTCTCTGTTCAAACCCTGGGGCTTTGACCTCTGCAAGTGTCTCTCCTCTTCGCCCGCAGCCCTGGCTCCAGCTTTTACGTCTTCTCACCTGGGCGACACATGGCCTCTCGCTGTGCCCGCTGCCCACGGTTCCCCCCCACCCCCCGCTTTCAGGGGGCGCAGCTCTAACGCATAAGCAAATGCAGGTTCCTCTCTCTCCACACCTCCTCCCGCCTCCTGCCCGGCTTCATCTCCCAGGTCCCCGACGAGGACTCGGGTGCCTACCCACGCTGGCTGCTTGTTTGCTCCCAAAGGCACGCTGGTGCTGGGTCCTACTCTCAGGCCTTGGCACACTCAGGTCCCTCTGCCCGCTGCACCCTTTCCAGCTTCGGCCAAATTTCCCTTCCTCCTGCGTATCAGATCCCTCCTCTCCTCTATAAAACTCTGACGTGTGCCCTTAAAGACCCATCAGAGTAAGCTCCAGGAGGGCAGGGACCAGGCTTCTGGTGAGCGCTCAATTCACACCCTGCACACATTAGTACCGCCCCAGAAATTGATCATACTCGGCCGGGCGGCCGCCCCCCCCGCCACTGCCCACAGGCTGGGACCTCACCATGTCCCATCTGGATGGCCACAGCAGCCTGTCTGGCCTCTCTGCCTTCCAATCCACCTCGGCCGTGAAAAGCCAGGTCAGCATCGTTACCCCACTTGAGATCCTGCCATGGCTCCCCACTGTCTTCCACACAGAGCGCACCCCTGAGCCCACAGTCCCAGCCTTCCCTGCCTCATCTTTGGCCTGTCCCCTCATCTCACCCCTGCTCTGGCCGTGCTCCACCACGGGCAGCATTCTGGATGGGCCGCCCCCTTCGGTTGTCCCTGGCTTCGTTCCGGTCTGCCTGTCCTGGAGGTCTATCCTCCGCTTGTCTGGCTAGCACACACAGATAGATGGCTTTTTCAAAACTCATCTTACGTGTCCTTTCCCCCTTTTCTGGCTTTTCTGAGCTCTTGAGATCTTCATTCACATACTTGGAGCTTCCAGTGCGCAAAAGCTCCCTTTTAAAAAGCCCCGCTGCTGGGGCGCCTGGCTGGCTCAGTCGGTTAAGCGTCCGACTTCGGCTCAGGTCATGACCTCGCGGTTCGTGGGTTCGAGCCCCGCGTCGGGCTCTGGGCTGACAGCTCAGAGCCTGGAGCCTGCCTCGGATTCTGTGTCTCCCTCTCTCTCTCAAAAATAAACACTAAAAAATTTAAAAAATAAATAGAATTAAAAGGCTGCTGCTGCTCTCCTGAGTGTTGATGTCATCAGTGACCATTGTTTCCATGATTTCCATGCTAATTTCTATCAGAGATAGGTGACATTCTCCACCTCTCTCCAAACCCGTCTGCAGTTGGAAGCCACTGGTTTCCGTGGGCCCCGAGCGCTTTCTGCAGCCCTGTGACACTCTAGGGCCCGCGGGACCGAAGTCCGCCCCTGCTTGTGAGGGGATGTGGCTACTTATAGCTTGGGCGGGGGGGGGGGGGGGGGGGGCGCGTGGAAATGAATGAGCCACTAGGAAACAGGACATCCACCGAGGATTTTCCTCTTCAGAAGCCCTTCCCACTAGGACCCCTCTCCGAGCCCTCTGTACTTCCCGTAAGATGTCACTTTGTGCAACTGTCATTCTGTGCGCATTTGTCAGCTCTTGTCTCTCCCATTAGCGTGCAAGCTCCAGGACAGCAGAGTCCGTGTCCGGCTTGCACGCTGCTCCGTGGTCAGAGGCTGGCACGGGGCTGAGCTGAGTGCACACTTCAGAGCCCAGCCCGCTCCGCCTTCCCGGAAGCGCCATAAAACACGGCCTCTGTCCATCGTTCCGTTTCCATCCCGCAGGCCCTTAGCACTCAGAGGTGCTGGCTCCTGGGTCTCTGGCTCCCAGAGCTAAAGGGGTGGTGGTCTGGCCCTGGGGCCTCTAACAAAGGGCCAGGGGGCCAACAGTACCCCACAGTAGCCAGAAGAAAATGTGGGACAGTGACCCCCCTGGGCTGTTGTAGCCACAGGCTGAAGTTTCATCAGCAAGTGGCCGATGAAGCGATCAGTCAAGTCAGCTGGACAGAACAGAACCGGGGGAACGACATTCTCCTACAGGTGTGCGCTGACAGGGGGGACCTGTCCTGTGGTCCCTGGGGTCCAGCTGCTGCTTCTGCCACTTTTGGACCCTGCTCAGATGTATTCCTGTACCCAGGCCCCGCTATCTACATTTCACATTCTGCGTCCACGGCGGGGTCGGTTTTTGCAGCAGCTTCTGGTTTTCCAGTGATGCTTCGTGGTTTTGTTTTGCTCCACTTGTTAGAGACTGAACAGCAGAGGAGGCTGGTTTATGAGGAGGTGAAGGTCATGGCTGTAAGGCCGGGCAGTGCTGGGCATCACATCCACGGGACTCTCACTGCCCTTTGCCCACAGCGATGTCGGGAGCCCCCTTCCCCTCTGCCACGCCCACTCCCCATCCCTGCCTGGGGGCGCTCTCTGTACCCACAGCAGGTCCGAGCAGACCTTTGCAAGCCCACGTCAAAGGCCCAAATCCTACTGGCGCAAAAGAATGTTCTCCCTTGGAGCTGATGGTCCCAGTCACTCATCAAAAGGTCCGTCAGTGTGCCCGGGGGTTGATGCAACAGGGAGCTGTGACTTCCTCCTGGGGCATTTCATTTGTATAGGTTTTTTTTTTCTCAAACTCGGCACTATTGACATTTGGGCCGGACCGCTCTTTGTCGTGAGGCCTGTCCTGTGCACTGTAGGATGTTAGGAAGCATGCCTGGCGTCTACCCTCTGGATGCCAGGAGCACCCCCAACCACTCACGTCAATCCAAAATGTGCCCAGACATTGCCCAATGTCTCACTGGGGGCAAAATCTCCCCCAGCTGAAACCACTGCTCTACAGACAGCTCCGGGGCTCCCCATGTCCCCACACAGAGAGGCACCTATCACAGGACTGTACAGAACGAGGCACGTGATGTGTGGGCACCCTCTGCTCAGAGGTCAGTGCTGGGCAAGGAGCAGAAACATGGCCGGCTCACTCCACTTCCTGGGACTCAGGCATCCCTCCCTCTCTCTCCGTCTCATGTGGCACATCAGTGACTTGGGACAGCACTCCCTCTGGGGCTCTTGTGCAGGTCAAGCACCAATAAATATGTTCCTCGATGATGATTTTATCAGTCTAGCCACAGTGGCAACTTCATGGTTTTCCTTTAGTCACAAAGGATAGCTGGCCCCTCCCCAATAAGATTCTTTTCCTTTCTTTTTCCTTAATTTTCTTTTTTTTTTTTGAGAGAGAGAGACAGCACAAATCAGGGGAGGACAGAGAGAGAGAGAGAGAGAGAGAGAGAGTGAGAGAGAAGGAGGGAGACACAGAATCCGAAGCAGGCTCCAGGCTCTGAGCTGTCAGCACAGAGCCTGACGTAGGGCTTGAACCCACAAACCATGAGATCATGACCTGAGCCGAAGTCGGACGCCTAACCGACTGAGCCACCCAGGCGCCCTCCCCGCCCCGATAAGATTCTTAACACAGGCAATTTTTAAAAGGGGACTTTGGGTCCCTGTTAGGACCATCCAACACGCACAGAAGGAACGGTGGTCGAGGGACTTCGCAGGTGCCCTCCTGCCTACAGACGTTTCCGGCAATGGTCCCTAAAGGTTCCAGAGCACTGCCTTTCCTGGAGCCCCCAGTGGGTCCTGCAAGTGCCTGGCTTACCATCGATGGCTGTGCAGGGTGGGGACTGAGCCATCCGGATTCCTGTCCCTGCTCTGCCCTGCGCTAACTCTGTGACCCGGGCAAGTCCCCACGCTTGCCCCGGAATCACACTGTTCCTCTGCAGAGTAAGGGTCATCAGAGTGCAGACCCTTCTAGGGATTTTATAAAAAGAATTGGACGAGGTTAACACGGAAAGCGCTCGGCACAGGGTATCCAATAAGCACTGTTATAGCACCAATATCGTTAATTTAATCTAAGAATTAAGCCAGTAGAAAGCTCACAGGCGTACAGGAAGGAGCAAACTCATTCGTCCATCTGCCCTCAGAGTTGGGGGGGGGGGCGGTGCTCAGAGACATTTTAGAAGTGGACAGACCGCCTTTCTGAGCTGTGTGTGGAGGGGAGGGTCAGGAAGGGAGGAGAAGCCCCTCTCCCCGCCCACAGGTCTTTCTGAGGCTGAGGCCAGCCCGTCAGAGGCTCTGCAAGCTTTGAGCGAAAATGATTGCCGGGAAAAACCCCCGGGAAGCAGAACCCACGGGAAGAGGCAGGGCCAGGCTGAAAGGCAGTGTGGAGCCCCTCGGGGTGTGCTTGGGCGGCTGAGAGGACGGGTACCCAGCTCGGGCACGAGCCCTGCCCCTTCCCTCCCTCCAAGAGGTCCCCTGGGACTGGGCTCAGTGAGTAGTGGGGGCCAGCACCTGGTGGGGCTTCGGGTCGGGTCAGGACCCCTCTGCTCCCCCAGCCCTCCCTCCCTTCCTCCTTCCTGAGCTCAGCGCCCACGTGCAAAGCCAGGGCGGTGCCAGGGGATGGGAGACGGAGGTGCGGCGCGAGAGGGGCCGTGGGCAAGGCTGGCCTGCCCCTTCTAGGTCGGAGCCTGGGCACCGTCGCTTTCTTCCTCACCAAGGTCCTCTCCTTCCACCTCTTCATCTGCCTCCAGACCCGGCTGTTTCTGCCAAAGAAAGACAGTGCAGAACCGTTGGTGGGGCCGGGCCCGCCCTGCACCCTGGGAAGTTGATCCCCTGAGGCCCAAACCAGCCAACTGGTGGAGGCCCAGGAGACTGTGCTCCTGGCTCTGTGGCCCTGAGGGCCTAGTGGGTGCTCAGAGCGAGCCAGCGAGCGTGGACGGTGGGCACGGCCTCGGGCATCTCGCAGGCTGGGGTCCAAGTCCTGCTTCGGTCGCTTTGCTGCCTGGGTGGCCTCGGGCTAACGCTCCTCCTGAGTCTCCTTGGTCCCCTCGCCCGTGAAGTGGACACGATTCCTCTCAGGGCTGTGGCCCAGGTTAGAGATACAGGTGTAAGGGCTCAGCACTGTTTTCTCAGCTCTGACCCCAGAGGTTCTGGCCAACTGCAGAAAACTAAGGCTAAGCGGGTTGTTCTGTGCACCTTACTCCCTTCTGAGGCCCAGCTTCTCTGCCTGGAGTGTTCAAGCAGCGGGAAGGAGTGCTTTTCGGGACTTGCAGCCCCAGGCTGGGTGTCTGTCAGGCGCACTGCGCTGTGGGAGGTGGCCACTACCAGCACTGCCTTCTGGAGGGCAAGCGGGGGAGGGGGGGGGCGGGGGGGCTGGGAAGCTGGGACTCCAGTCCCGTCTCTGCCATAAGTGGAGGGAGGTCTCTGCCCCACCTTGCCACACCGACGATGGTGTGAGAACAAGGCCCCTCCTATCCAGGTGCTTCCAAATGCAACACGAGGGGCAAATGTCACAGCCTGTGACCGGCTCCAGTGGGGGGAGGCAGAGGGGGAAGAGGTCTTGGGATGGAACCAGTCACCCCGTCCGCGTGCTCGCCCGTCTTCCGCCAGCCTGTCTGCGAGGTGGGCGCCCAGGAGGCCAGCAGGCCTGGCTTTGCGGGCAGGTGCCCTGCACTTACGTTTTCATTCCGCCCCAGCCCACGCCCTTGAGCCCTTGAATCGTGTTGACGCCCTTGCACCCGGGGTAGGTCCCGGCTCGCACTCCCCAGCTGTGGTGTTCTTGCCACCCTTGGCCTCTCGTCTGGAGGCCCCTGAAGGCCATGACCCATGCCAACAATGCCTTCTTCTTCCTCTATCCTTGGGTACAGAAGAGGGCCCGGAAGGTGACCGGGCACCCCCTTTATAGCTCAACCTCCTTCTTTTCCAGATGCAAATGAAGGAGCCAAGAAGTGAAGCGACCGGCCCAGGCGATACCCCTAGAAAGTGCTCTAGAGCCAGAGAGCACGGATGGGTGAGCAGAGCACGGATGGGTGAGCTCTGCACAAACCATACCCCTGCGACACCAGGTGGGGTCAGCAGCCGGCCTCCGTGCCTCGGACCTCCCAGCCCAACCCCCCCTCCCTGGTCCTCGGGGCTCACTCTGAGCTGCCAGCTCACGCAGCCCCGGGTCTTTGTGGCAGTGGCCACGCGTGTGTCCCAGTGCCGACCGTGTCGGCGGGGAGGAGGGCCACGAGAAGTGTGGAGCGTGGCCCCTGCCCTCAAGCAGCTTACAGTCCACGTGGAGACTCAGGATTTCTCAGGAGGAAGGAGGAAGGCTCCCATTGGCCAGATGGACAAGTTAAGGTCCACCTGCTGAGGCCACTTGCCCAAGGTCACCCAGGAGGGCAGCGAGCAGGTGGAACCCAAGCGCCAGGGCTCCCACCCGGGCCACCCGAGCCCCCGTTCGGGACCCTTACAGGCTTTGTCTTCTTCATGGCTTCCGTCTCTTTCTTCTTCAGCTCTGAGTAGATGATGTTGAAGAACTCATCCTCGGCCTTGGTGACCAGCTCCTCCAGGTGGAAGGTAGGCTCCTCCTCTCTCAGGGAGTCATCCCTGCCCTCTGCCTTGCCTTTCTCCTTCAGCCGCATCTCCCGGTGCCTCGCCTCCAGAATCTTCTCCCGCCGGGTCTCCCGCTCAAATATCTGGGGTACACGGGGACAGGGAGGCCCGTGGGGAGAGGGTGGCAGCCGGCGGCCGGCTCCCAGCACGGGGCCGGGTTTAGCTCTCTTGCTTCACTCACAGCACAAGGCAGGGGTCTGTTCCCAGTGCTAACGGCAAGAAAGGAAGGCTGGACATCGAGATCAGGAGGCAGGAGCAGAGCCACCATGTCACCCAGTCCTGAGAAGTCCCCAGAACGGAGAAGATGTGGAACAGAACAGCCACACAGCCGTGCACCGTGGGGCCCTGGGTCAGGGGAGCACCTGCTCGGTGGTGGGCCCACAACCTTGGGCAGAGCCGGGGGCTCACCCAGGGCCTCGGCACCGGGGGGTTCAGTGCCACGGTGTGCCCACAGTGCTGGGGTGGGGGGGGGGGCGTCATGATGGCTCTCAGCCTCCCAGCCCCCTTAGCCTCCTGCCCCAGGGTGGCCACCTGCCCTCCGTCTTCTCTTCTGGCATCTGCTAAGCCTTCATCTGCCACAAATGTGACCTCTGGGACCAAACAAACTGACCTAGTCAAACCACTTGGGCAGCGGGAAAGCCGAAGCCTGCGGAGGTGACAGGACTTGCCCAGGGCAGCTTGGCTCCCGAGTGGCGAAGCCAGGGCCGAGTCAGACACTCCTGATGCCGCTTACGCGCTCATTTCGGGACCCCACGCCACCTCCCCAAAGGCCCATGCGTTTCTCTCTCTCTGCCTGGCCTGCTCTGCCACGGGGCCGGGGTCAGCGCCGGGCACTTACCAAAGAAGCCGTGTTCTTCTCGTTCTTCTGGAGGGTGCACAGCCCATTCGAGACCTCCAGCAGCGTGGTCGTCCCCAGCTGGGAGCCGCAGGCGATGAAGCATCCGTTGTCCTGCACCCGGAGGCAGAAGAGGGCCTCGTCGCACACCTGTCGGAGGGGCCAGGCAGATGCGGCTGGGTTGGAGAGAGGAGCCAAGCAGCTTGTCTTGAGTCCCCGGCCCCTGGGGAGAGGGGCCCTTGGCCCGGCTCCGTGTTCGAATACCCTAGGGGACTCCCCTGACTCACAAGACAAAGTTCAGAAGTTCATGCTCTGAGATCGGCCGTCAAGACCCTTTGCCCCCCTCCGGCCTCACCTTCCACCATACCTGACCCCACCCACCACGCCTCACCCCTTCAGTCCAGCCCACGTCCATCCTGCAGCTTCCCAAACGCCACGCCCTTCCATGGCCCACGCCAGCGTGGCTCGGGTGTAGCTATGCCGATGTGGCCTGAGCGTAGGCTGGAAGGGTCAGCTGCCAGGAGCCCATGCTGGGGCTGCCGAAGGAATAGGTCTGGTGGGAGGAGAGGCCGCTTTTCTTTTCTTTCTCAATTTCCCCCAGGTAATTCTGCTGGGCCACCAGGGCCCAAGGGCCTGGATGCATGGGGAGTGGGATACACGTGACCTTGAGGCTGAGGGCAGGGTCACACTGCTTGAACACGAAGTCCCAGATGTCCAGGGTCCCGTCCATTCTGGTGGTGAAGAAAACCGCCGGCCTCACTGGGCTCCAGGCGCCATCGGTGAGGTAAGCCATGTGGTACCTGTGGGGAGCCGGGTGCCAGCGGTCAAGGCCCACTGTGGTCGGGAGGCACAGAGAGGTTGCTGAGCCACCGCTCTGCTCATCCAGGCCCCCTGGGCTCTAGGGTCTCGTCGCTGGGCAGGAAGTTCTTCCTTGTGTCTGACTTCTAGCCATGCCAGCCTCGCCCACCAGTCGTTAGCAGTATGCACTTTATTTAAAAAAAAAAAAAAACTTTAATGTTTATTTACTTTTGAAAGAGAGTGAGAGAGGGGGAGGGGGAGTGAGACACAGAATCGGAAGCAGGCTCCAGGCTGTCAGCACACAGCCCGACACGGGGCTCGATCTCACGAACCACAAGGTCATGACCTGAGCTGAAGTCGGATGCTCAACCGACTGAGCCACCCAGGCGCCCTGATAATATGCCCTTTAAAGGCTCTGGTCCTTCCCAGGGGCTGAGCCACTAGAGTTTCTCTACAGCTAACTCCAGGGGACAGGCACATGTTGCTGGATCTGGGCCCAGTCTCCCAGCAATGGGACTCACGGAAAGGAGTCAGAGGAAGAATATGCCCAAGGAAGCATATGCCCCAAGAATATGCCCAGAGGAAGAATATTAGAAGTTCCTAATATCGACATTAGAAGCGTTATGCTTCCTACTCGGTGGGGGATCTAGATTTTCGAAGACTTCTGTGGTGAGGAATGACATTGGCCCCTTATACCATATACGAAAGTCAACTTGAAATGGATGAAAGACTTAAACATAAGACCCGAAACATAAAATTCCTGGAAATTTTATGGGAAAAGCTCCTTGACCTTGGTTTTGGTGGCCATTTTGTAGACATAATGCCAGAAACACAAGAGAAAAAGCAGAAATGAACAAGTGGGGTACATTGACATCAAAAGCTTCTGCACAGCAAAGTCAAAAACTGAAAAAGCAAAAAAATTAAAAAAAGAAGATAAAAGAAAAAGCAACCCATGGGATGGGAGAAAATATTTGCAAATCACATGTGTGATGAAGGGTTAGTATCCGAGATATACAAAGTATATAAGGAATTCATTCCAAAAAACTCAATAGTGAGAAAACAAATAACCCGATTAAAAAATGGGTGATCGACTCCCTCTCTTTCTCTGTCCCTCCCTGGCTCACACTGTCTCTTTCTCAAAAATAAAGAAGGATTAAAAAATTTTTAAAGGGGCGCCTGGGTGGCTCAGTCGGTTAAGCGACCGACTTCGGCGCAGGTCATGTTCTCACAGTTCGTGAGTTCGAGCCCCGAGTTGGGCTCTGTGCTGACGGCTCGGAGCCTGGAGCCTCCTTCGGATTCTGTGTCTCCCTCTCTCTCCCTCTGACCCTCCCTGGTTCACACTGTCACTCTCTCAAAAATAAATAGGCATTAAAATTTTTTTTAAAAATGGGCAATGGACTTAAACAGGTGTTTCTCCAAAGAAAACCTACCAATGACCAACAGGTACATGAAAAAGTGCTCAACATCACTCAGCATCAGGGAAATGCAAATCAAGAACCCAAGGAGAAAGCTTCTCACACCTGTTAGAGTGGCTATTCTTTTTTTTTTATGTTTATTTTATTTTTGAGAGAGAGAAAGAGAGTGCAAGCGGGGGTAAAGAAGACAGAGACAAAGAATCTGAAGCAGGCTCTGACTGCAGAGAGCCAGACATGGGGCTCGAACTCATGGACCATTGAGATCATGACCCGAGCCAAAGTAGGAGGCTCAACCAACTGAGCCACCCAGGTGCCCCTAGAGCGGCTATTCTTAAAAAGACAGAAGATAATAAATGTTGGCGAGGATGTGGAGAAAAGCGAGCCATTGTGCACTGTTGGTGGCATTGTAAGCTGGTGCAGCCACTGTGGGAAACAGTAAGGAGGATCCTCAAAAAATTAAAACTAGAACTACCATCTGGTCCAGCCATGGCATTTCTGGGTCTTTATCCAGAGGAACTAAAACCAGAATCTCAAAGAGATCTCTGCACCCTCACGCGCACTGCAGCATTATTGACGACAGCCAAGATATGGAAGCAACCTAAACGTCTGTCAGCAGAGGAGCAAATAAAGCAAATGGGGTATATATTCAACGAAATATTATTCAGCCTTAAAAAAGGAAATCCTTTCATTTGCAACAACGTGGATGGACCAGGAGGACATTCTGCTAAGCGAAGTAAGCCAGACACAGAAAGCCTGCGTGATCTCACGTATATGCGGAATCTAAAAAAAAAGTCAAACTCACAGCAGCAGAGACTGGAACAGTGGTTGCCAGAGGCTGGGGCGGGGGTGAGGGGGGGAAATGGGAAGGTGATGGTCGAAGGGTACAAACTTTCATTTATGCAACATAGGTCAGTTCTGGAGATCTAGCATGCAACATAGTGCCTCTAGCTAACGATACTAGACCAAATAGTAAAATTTGCTGAGAGAGTAGATCTCAAGTGAAGTGACCCCTGACCGCCCCCCACCACAAGAATAATTACAATCAAGGAGGTAGGAGGGAGTGATGGACATGTTTATGGCTTTGATAGTGGTGATGGTTTCACAGGTGTAACTTAGCCCCAAACTCACAGAGCTGTAGGCTCTGTGAAGTACAGCCTTTTCTGTGTCAATGACACCTCAACAAAAGGGTTGAATATGTATGTGTGTGCATATATATATATATATATATATATATTTTTTTTTTTTTTAATAAATCTTCCCAGGAGATCTTGATGCAACCAGATTGGGGAGCCACTAGAATAGAACATGCTCATTAGGGTCCACAGCGACACCAGCACTGCAGAGTCTGTGATAGCGTGAGCTAGAAAGGAACCCCAGATTGTCACACAGGAAGGCTGAGAGGGCACCAGTCCCCCCACCTGATGCCTCTGCTCCGGTCTCTTAGCTCTGCCTGCATTGCAGCATCTCTGTGCATGTGGCACTCCCTGGATCACCCAGGGGCAATGAGACCACCCTGAGGGGCTCAATCTCATGGCCCCCCTTGGCCTCTCCTCTGGGCAGACTGGGAAAGCCCACAAGCTTCTCCGATCCAACTACAGCGCTCACAGCTATGTCCCTCTCTGCTCCTATGTGCCCAGCCTTGCATGAGGGGAGACCCACCAAGCTGTCCTGATGAGGTGCCCAGATTCTCAGTCCAAGCTTCCTGGGTTCAAACCCCACTTCAACTCCCTACCAGCCGGGAGAACAGAAGCAAGTGGCTTTGCCTCCCCATGGCTCTGTCCCTTAACACACACAATGAGGGACAAGAGGAGTAATGCTACCTACTTGTAGGGTGGGCTTGAGGGTCATGAAAACACCCAAGGCTGTTATTATGACTAACACAGGCTGTTTGAAGCACTTTCCTTTATGAAGTGGCTGGATTAGGCTCAGGTGTGCATGGAGGGGTGTTCTGGGTAGACATGTAGAGGCTCAGGGCACTCCTGGGCTGGCTCCCTCTGTCCCTCCCACCCTCCTACATTCCCCTCCAGCCCCAACCTCCCTCTTACTTGGTCCACATGATGGACGACTCCCGGCTGTCTTCTGACCAGATGCGGGCGGTCCAGTCGCCGACAGTCAGGAAGTTCTTAGGGTAGAATGGATTTCTCTGGAGGGCATAGATGGGGCCATGGTGGCCTGAGAAGGTGCACACAATCTTCTCGGCTGACGTTTTGGCCTTGCGGTTGCAGGAGATGACAATGCCCTGCTCGGTGCCCACCATGAACTTGGTTGGCTGTGGAAGGGGTGACACAAGAGTGAAAGGTTCCATGAAACGTCAACTCAGGGTTTATTGTCATGGTTAGCAGCCTTCTGGAGTCAGATTGGATGCGTCTAAAGGTGCTGGAAGGGACCTTCGTGTAAGCTTATGCTCAGGCTGTTGCCCAGCCCCTCCTAAGGAGCTGGCCTTGCCCTTCCTGGCTTCATTAGACCCCATCCTCTGTTAGAACCTGCTCAAGGGCGCCATGTTTAATGAAGCCCTCTCGACTCTTCTAGACCTTGGAGAAACTCATCAGCAGCTATGTGATACACACCTCTTCACGTAGCATCATTGTGTCCACTAGGCATTTTGCCATAAAGATCCCGAATGTCTGCTTATGGAAAACGTGAATGATTGAATGAATAATGTAAAACAGGAGTCTAAAAAGTCCCCTCCCCCAGCCTTCAGTTACTTCCTGAGAAACTGGGCTATACTGCATACCCATATTCATCCCACCTTTATTCACAGCAGCTAAGAGGTAAAAAGCAACTCGAGCGTCCCAACCCAAGTGATATGGATGGATTGACAAAATGTGGTCTATACCTACAGCGGAATAAAAAGGAAGGAAATTCACAGCTTTAAAAAGGAAGAACATTCGGACACACACAACAATGTGGGTGAACCTTGAGGACATGATGCTCAATGAAATAAACCAGTCATGGAAGGATGAATACCAGAAGAGTAGAGATGGAAAGTAGAGGGGCCAGGAGAGGAGAAATGGAATGTGAAGAGACACAGCTCGAAAGGCCCAGAAAAGCGAGTAATGAAGTAAAACGCAAGGCTCCTGCAAGCTAGTGATGGAGAGAAGTACCCAGATCCAGATGGCCTGCCATGCCTCCACCCTTGGACTTCTTGGTGGGGTTGGAATGGTGAGCCTGGACCTTGAGTCAGAGCCCTGGGTTTGAGCCCCAGTTGCACCGTGTCCTAGAGCGTATGACTTACCACACTAAGGTCATTTGTTTGTCTGGAAAGGAGGGACAATAACATTATGGTACAAGATGGTCGTGGGCGATTACGCAAGCTCATCACTGGAGGGAGTTACAAGTGTCCAGCACACAGAGTGTGCTCAGTGACAGGCATGGGAGAGCTGGGGGACTACTGGTGGTATTGTCATTACATCAGGCACTTGCTCTAGAAGTCCCTGATTTCAGGACAGAATGCTTTTCTGCATCCGCCCCACACTGACTCTCATGCCCAGCGTCGGGGGTCAGTTAAATTGTCTTCCACCTGACTTCCCCAGCGTTCCTTCCCCAGCCTTGGGTGAGGGCTCCCAGGGCAGGGGTGAGGCCAGAGCATCTCCAGCTCCCAAGAGCCTGGGAATGATGTCACATGACCTGAAAACAAACAAGAGATGATCCCAAGGGGGAGCCAGACCTGGGCTTCGGTGACACATAAGCCGGGAACAAGCCCAAGCCAAGAGTCATCTGGGAAAGTTGTTTTCTTGCTTTGGTGGGAATCCTCATTTGCTGCTTCTAGAAGCTTCCAGCCTTTGACTCTTTCATGTTACTGTTCAACTTTGATCTTTCTTTACCATTCCTTCCCATTGCTAGATGCTCTAATTGTGCCTGTGCTCTGGTTTTCCAAGGAGCCTCCTCTGACCTCATTTCCCTCTCCAACACCTCTTCCTTCCCCTCAGACTGTGAAGCGACCCACACTAGGCAGGGGCGGGGCCTGGGCTCTCCATGTTGGTCCTGGGCGGGGCTCTTCCTACAGAATGGGGCCCTTCTGGAATCCTGTCCTCTGCGAAAGCTTGCCTTCTGTTCAGCACAGCTGCTACCCAAGCAGTGACTTTGTGTGAATGAGGACTGGCCTCCTTCCTCGAGAAGCTCTGCTGCCCCCTGCTGGAAAGTTCCTGGAAAGACCACACACAAGCCCGACGACCACAGGAGGGAGGGCGCTCCATGCCGCTGTTGGGTGCACGTGGTAGCCGCTGGCTCCACCCGGCTCTGGCTGCCCCAGCATTGGAAGTCCGGGAAGGGAGAGCCGGGAACACTCACCAAAGTAGGCTCGAACTCCAGGGAGATAGCCCCCAAGGCATTCTCCAACTGCTCCTTTCTGGCAATGTCCAGGATCACCACCTCGGTGGGCTCGCTCATCTTTCGGATATCCCACCACATGACCTAATGGGAGGGCGGGGCAACTTTGAGACCGGAAGTCCCTTGATTCTCCTAGCTTTTGCCTTCCCTACCGTCTTGGGGCCAATCACTGGGGCCAAAGGGGTGTGTGTTAGAGATGACCAGCGATCCGTAGGACAAACACACTTGGAGAACCACTGCTCTGGCCCCACAGTCCCAAACCTGGCCGCTCATCAGGGTCATGGGCAAGCTTCATAAAATCCAGATGCTGGGGCCTCACCCCAGACCTACTGCCTCAAAATTGCCAGACGTGGGCTCTGGAATCTGAAATCTTTTTTTTTTTTTTTTTTTTTTTTTTTTTAATTTACTTACTTTGAAAGAGGGAGAGAGTGGGGGAGTGGGGGAGGGGCACAGAGAGAGGGAGACAGAGAATCTCAAGCAGGTTCCACATTGTCCTAGTGGAGTCAGATGCAGGGGCTCGATCCCATGAACCGTGAGATCGTGACCTGAGCCGAAATTAAGAGTCAGATGCTTAACAGACAGCCACCCAGGTGCCCCCTGGAATCTGAATTCTTAAAGCCTCCCACAATATGGTAATATATAGAAACATTATAAATGCCCATACGCTTTGATCAAGAAGTCCCACTGTACATTGGAGATGTATCTTCACATGTGTGCAAAAACTTAGATACAAACACACTCTGCTACACAATCATGACATTAAAATCCACTGAAATAAATTTTGGCATACCTAATGCAGTTCCTAACAGGCACGAGGCAGTGCTCTGTGAAATATGACATCATCTTCAAGATACACTAAATGAAAAACGTCAAATGCAGACCAATGCACGAGGTGTGCAGAAAGAGTGAGGAAGACAGATGTATTTGCTCCTGTCTCCAGCGGCGGTCCCTGAAGGCGGCCATGAGAAACAGATGAAGGTGGGTGCCTACAGGGAGGGGGGCCGGGAGGTTTGTGGGCAGAGGTGGGAGGAAGGTGTTTTCCCGTCTGCCCTTTTTGCCTTCTGGACTTTGTTCCATGTGCATGTATTACCTACTCTTCAATTTAAAAATAAAATGCAAAAGAAAACGATCCTCAAGGGGCTTCTGGAGGGGAACTGGGGAAGTATCACTGCTCCCCACACTGTGGCCGGCTGGCTACCTGCCCGTCCGTGGATGCTGAGAAGCACTCAGTGCCCGTCTTCGACTGTAGCCAGATGCTGCCGTACACGGGGTCTCGATGGCTGAACTCAATAGTGGACAGCTCCGCCACCAGGCTGCCCTTCCGGGTGTCCCAACAGGCTGGCAGGGAGGAGAGTGAGGGCAAGGTGAACGGAAGCCCAGGCTTCTTCCTCCGCGCAGGAAGCAGGGGATGGAGGGATGCTGCTTCTCTTGGTTTGGCAGGTATGTAGTTTTTTTTGTTTTCTTTTTTTTTTTTCAGAAGCAGGGCTCGGTCTTAACCTGCCTGAGTTTCCTCCCAACCCCTGAAGTTCCCACACAATCTCTATGGAAAGACTCCCAGAGTGCAAGCTTCACTCATTCCATTGAGTTCCTACCATGTGTTGAGCACCACACTACCTCGGGAAGCCACTGGAAATAAGACCATCCCTGTCCCTGAGAGGCAGGAAGGGGGACCTGCTGTGATTTTCCTGGTGGGGAACACATGGGGGTGGTCAGGGAGAGCTTCTTGGAAGGAGTGAGAAGGATCACAGACTGAGGAGGAGCCTGGGATGGCAGTTGGTGGGGGGGGGGGGGGCGGCCAGAGAGAAGAGTGTCTCCACCCCCAAAGAAAGGTTCCTGAAAGTAAAAAGTAAAAGGTAAAAACACTGCAGCAAATCTCTTCTGCTACATAAACTCCCTTTTACCCTCTGCACTTTGGCTGCCCTGGATGGGAATGCAGATCACAGACCCTTTATTCAGATCCGTTACAAGGACTTCACCTCTTCTGCTTTACCAAGAAAGCCTTGAAGCTTCTCTCGTTTTTGTCCTGACAGATTTTTTATTTGGGGGTGGGGAGAGAGAGAGAGAGAGAGCAGGGGAGGAGCAGACAGAGATGGGGAGAAAGAATCCCAAGCAGGCTCTGCACTGTCAGTGCAGAGCCCGATGCAGGGCTCAAACAACTGTGAGATCATGACCCGAGCCAAAATCAAGAGTTGGATGCTTAACCAACTGAGCCACCCAGGCGCCCCGGAGAAGCTAGTTTTGAAAGAGAGCAACAAAATAACTCAATCCATAAGTTTTGATTTATGGACTCCAAGTCCGAGACCTTTGCCCCTGGACAGGACTGGCCCAGAGATGAGCTTTCTTGGCCAAGTTTGCTCGGCTAGGGACAGAGCAGCACTCGGGGGTGGGCCCCCTGGCAGCCTCTCTCAAAGGTGGCACAGCCCCGGAGCCCCGGCTGCTCTGAGCTGGCACAAAGAACCCTGAAAGGGGTTATGAATAATGAGCGAGGCAAGCCTCCTGAATAAATCATGGCACAGTGGCTCGGCTCCAGTCTTCTAGAGCCCTGGCACCCAGGTAATTTGGCAGGGAGATGTGTGGGAGCCCACATCTATTCCCAGGGAGGAGGTGGCAGGTCTGAGAGGGGGGTCAGAGGCTTCAGAAGAGTGTCTAAGAAGTTTCCCAGCCATCCAGCTCCTACTCTGGGAGGAGTAAGGGTAAATAAAAAACATGTGAGGGTAAGATGGGAGGGGGCTCTTTTCATGCCCAAGGTCAAGTCAGGCCTGGGATGCAGTTAGGCTGAGCGTCCACTGCTTGGGGGCCAATGTGGCAGGCAGGCAGGCAGACAGGGCCCATGGGGGCAGTTTCCTTCCAAGCTCCCTAGGGATCCAAATCCCAGTTTTCTAGGTGTTCCATCAGCAAAATCAGCCGAGCAAGGACCTCTGAAAATCTTCTCCATAAAAGCAATGAGAAAACGGGCAACAAAGTGAGTCAACTTTTTCAAGACAACTTAGTCAAAGGCTTGCAGTCATCCAGAGAATGCTTGTTCAGGAGAACCAGCTGAACGTCGGTAAGGACACTGAGTTTTGTGATGTTTTTAACTTGCCCTAGTTAAGACCCCACACTCTCTGAGTCCCACGGTAGCCTTGAAAAATAACATTCTGCCTTCCCGGTGAAAACCGGCTGCCTCACAGCAGCAGGAGGGGTAATCCGGCTGAAGTTCATTCACAGTCTTCCAACCAAAGAACGGTGACTATATGAACTGTCTGGTGGATCCCTGGATGACCATGTCCCTCCCCACCCCCTGCAAGTTATCTGTATTTAACCTGACTTAGAGCTTGCTCCGTGGGAAAAAAAGAGGCAACTGTTGAAAATAATAATTATAGGCAATTGATTAACTTTGCAGTTTCCTGAAGTGGTAGGTAATAGCAAACTATCCAAAAGGCTTAAAAGGCAAGCCTGGAGGGGCACCTGGGTGGCTGGTTGGTTGAGCGTCTGACTCTTAGCTTCAGCTCAGGTCATGATCTCACGGTTCGTGGGTTTGAGCCCTGTGTCAAGCTCCGTACTGGCAATGTGGAGCCTGCATGGGATTCTCCCTCTCTCTCTGCCCCTCCCCTGTACTCACTCTCTCTCTTTCAAAACAAATAAGTAAACTAAAAAAAAAAAAAAAAAAGGACAGGCTTGGAGAACAAGGTGTCCATTGGGATGTCCCCTGGGGCTTTGAAAAGCTCCACCATTTGCCTGGAGATCTGGAAGGCCACATGCCCGGGTAGGGCTGTGTGCATGCCCAGAGCTGTGCACTCGCTCAGGAAAGAACTGAGGAGGCCCTAAGCTGTCGCCTCTGCTGACCCTGAGGCTTTGTGCAGAGGCGCAGGTGGGGCCGGCAGCTGCCCCAAGGAGTGTCGCAGCCATGCTCAAACAAGCACACAGAGGCTCTCGGCAAACACTGGTTGCCTGCAGGTGCTTGAGGAAATCTCTGTCCCGCCACTAAGCTAACCAAGCAGAGAGCATGGCAGGCACACATGATAGAATGCAGACTTCACAGAATTAGATCAGACAATTCACTGAAGAAACAAACAGCGGCAAATAGCAATGAACACAAAGCCTACAGTGGTACAAGTACCTGATTTCCAAAACTGTCACTTTATATTGTGTAAAGAGAGAAATTTTCAACAAAAAAGTTACAAGATATATAACGAAATGAGAAAGTGTGGCCTATACACAGGAAAAAAGGCAATAAATAGAGACTGTCCCCAAGGGAGCCCAGCTGTTGGACTTACTAGACAAAGACTTTAAATCATTGTGTGTTTTTTTTAAATTCTTTTCTTATTACATCAGGATCTCTTTATTTTTTTTTAATTTTTTTAATGTTTATTTTTGAGAGAGACAAAGACAGAGCATGAGTGGGGGAGGGGCAGAGAGGGAGGGAGACACAGAATCGGAAGCAGGCTCCAGGCTCCGAACTGTCAGCACAGAGCCCGATGCGGGGCTTGAAATCACAAACTGCGAGATCATGACCTGAGCTGAAGTCGGACCCTTAACCGACTGAGCCACCCAGGCGTCCCTTGACCTGTAGTTTTCTTAAAACTTGTTATTCTGAACTGGTCTTAGACTTACTTGAACTGTTACAATTGGAGACACTGCTGAGCTATCAGCAAAGCCTGACTACCCGGATGTCTGGAGTTCATCCTCTGTGGGGAGTCCCCACCTCACTCTGTGCTCCCTGGGAAGCCCGGCCAGGTACTTGGGCCCTGGCAGACAGCAGCGGGGGGCTGGGCTTGCTCCCGGTTAAGCACCTGGGTCCCTCCTTACCCAGCTGCCCGTTGTAGCAGCCTCCCAGAAGCACGTGGGAATCTTTGGGGTTGTACTCCAAGGTGACAAGAGGTGACGATGGCTTCAGGACGATTTCAGGCTTGTTGGGATTTTCTATGAAACAAACAAACAAATTGATCCCGCCAAGTCTGGAAAGAAAAGAACGGGGTCAAACAGTTTAACCCTTCCTGAGATGGGTGATGGTAGGGGGATACTTGGAAGTCCCTCCTGTCTTTCCCCAGGCTGCGACCTCTAGGTCCTGGGGGCCAGAATGTGGCACTCTTGGCCCTAGGGGCTCTTTCAGTGGTTTTATTTTTGGTAATCAGCAGCGTGTGTGTGTGCGTGTGCACGCGCACCCGTTTTGGAGATTCGGTAGGAAACCGGGTTTTGACCCCAAGGTTTTTCCATAAATCCAACTCTCCCTGACTTCTCCAAACCAGTTTCTTTGTCTGTATAGTGGGGCTAATGAAGGAGTCCACCCCCCCTTGCCCCCTAGAGCTGTTCAAAAGCATAATGTGCTCAGTTCTGAGCTTGGCACTCACACCTACTAATAACGGCTAACGTTTATTTTCACAATGGCCACAGTGACGGGATGTCCTACAGCGTATCGTCCACCATCGCTGGCCACCTGACAAGGCTCGTGCCCTTAGAGTGAGTGCTTCTGTCAACAACGGTCCCTGCTCCCAAGTGGACGCATTGCCCCTACTGGCCATGAATTAAGGACCAATGCCAGGAAAGTGGGACAGAGGTGAGTCGCCTTCTCAGTCCGCTGGGGACTCTATCTGAGTCTGTGGAGTCTGGGATTGGGATTCCATGGGGTTTGGTCTTGAATGCCCTGATCAAGGATCTGGAAATGAAGGGCGTTTCCTGCTTCTGATATGGCTCTGGTTTGGCTGCTCCTGAACCCAGACAAGGAAGGGATGGGCAGCTTCCTGGGGTCCCTGGTCCCTCCCTAGAAGGGACCGGCCCTGTGAGAGTCCCCTGCCTGTGGCTTCTACCTTCCACTCTTGTGCTTTGCTTGCCTCTGCCCTGCCCCCTCAGTTTTCCTGGACCCCCGGACCCTTCCGCTTCTCACCCAGGTCCCAGATGTACGATTCATGGCTCATGCCCTCGGGCGCACGTTGAAAATTCAAGCAAGAATATGCCACTGCCAACTTTCTGTTGCCATCAGGGTGCCAGGAGAGGTGCGTGGCTGACCGCTTGATTTCCTGGGGATCCCTTTACAGGAGAGGGCAGAACACTGGCATGGAAGGCTCCCCACACCTCTTACTTACTCAGCTGTATGTCTAAAAAATTCAAACGTATTTAAGCAATCACACTCACTCGGAGAAATTTATTTTTAAGAACAAAGTTTAGAAGAGCCCTTAATCCAAACCCGGATCTCACCAGCCATAAATAGAAGGTAATAATAAAAACTAAACCAGTGGGAACAAAATATCAAATTCCAGTCCGGTATTTCCACTTGCTGAAAGTTTTGAGCCTGAGGCCTGATTTCCCATCGCTATTACAACGAAAGGGGAAGAGGAGAATCCAGCAATCCTCCTCCTTGGTATTTGCCCAAAAGAGTTGAAAACTTTTGTCTAACAAAACATTGCAGGTGAATGTTTCCAGCAGCTTTGTTCATAGCTGCCCAGACTTGGAACCAACCAAGACATCTTTCAGGAGGGGGATGGATAGATAAGCTGTGGTCCATCCAGACAGGGGAATATTATTCAGCATTAAAAAGAAACGAGCTATCAAGCCATAAAAAGACACAGTGGAAACATAATGCACGTCACTAAGTGAAGGCGACCAGTCGGTAAAAGGCCACATACTGTATGATTCCAACTATGTGACATTCTGGAAAAGGCAAAACCATGGAGACAGTAAAAAGATCAAGCGTTAGCCAAGGGCTTGGGGGTAGGGAGGGATGACTAAAAGGAACGCGGGATTTTAGGGCAGTGAAACTATTCTATATGATGCAAAACCCACTGAGTGGGGCGCCTGAGTGGCTCAGTTGGTTAAGCGTTCGACTTTGGCTCAGGTCATGATCTCACAGTTCGTGGGTTTGAGCCCCGCGTTGGCTCTGGGTTGACAGCACGGAGCCTGCTTCAGATTCTATGTCTCCCTCTCTCTCTGTCCCTCCCCGGCTGTGCTCTGTTTCTCTATCTCAAAAATAAACAAATATTGAAAAAATAAAATAAAAACACCCCACAGAGTATGCAACACAAAGAGTGAGCCCTAATGGAAACAATGGACTTTGGGGTGCCACAGGTTGACTGTGGTGTCCCCCAGATTCATATGTTGAAACCTAATGTCCAATGTGACGGTGTTAGGGGGGTGGCTGTGGGAAGTGATTAGTCCTTGATAAAGGGGCTCCAGAGAGCCCTCTCACCCCTTCCACCATGTGAGTTCTGACAGTGAAAAAATGGTCGCCTATAAACCAGGAAGTTGGTCTTCACCAGACACAGAACCCAACCACCTTGATCTGGGACTTCCAGCCTCCAGAACTGTGAGCAGTAAGCTTCTGTTGATTATAAACTACCCAAGTTATGGTACTAAGACAGTACCAGAATGCTGGTTCCTGATGGTGACAAAGGCCCCACCCTGGGGCAGGGTGTTGATGGTCAGGAAGGCTGTGTGGGCTCAGGGCGGAGGGGGCGTGTGGGAACTCTTTGTACTTTCTGATCAGTTTCGCTGTGGGCCTAACTAAAACTGCTCTGAAACATCAACTCTTACTTCAAAAAAAGAGGGGAAGAAGGAGAATGAGCAAGAAGTAAAAAAGAATTAAGCACTTAATGGCCCAAACGGAGACTTTGCCCACGAAGTAATCAGAAGGGATGAAGGGAAGTGGAAAGCAAGATAACCTTCTTGCCCTGTGATTTCTCCACTTCGCTCCTCCCCAGGAGCACGGTTAGAAGGCTGGGATCCAGGAGACCTTAGTTCCGTCCCTGGTTGGGTCACCCCTTCCCCCTCCCGTGTGCCCTGGGCACCCGCCCCTCCCTGAAAGTCAGTCCCCTCATCTGTCAAACATACAGGTTGAATGGGATAATTTCTTTTTTCTTTAAGTGTTTATTTATTTTGAGAGAGAACATGCACACACGCAGGGGAGGGGCAGAGAGAGGGGGAGAGAGAATCCCAAGCAGGCTCCAGGCTCAGCACAGAGCCCAACGTTGGGCCAGATCTCACCACCATGAGCTGAATTCAAGAGTCGGACGCTTAACCGACCGAGCCACCTGTGAGATGATTTCTAGTCCATCATCCTGCTAAGGCACCCCTGTGAGATGATTTCTAGTCCATCATCCTGCTAAGGTATCCGTATGTGAGGTCAGACCCCAGTAGGGCTGGGGCAGCAGGGGGGACAGCCCTCGCCCCTCCCCCCTGGCCCCTCTCCCAGAAGTGCTTGCTCCTACTCTGCACACCACAACTCAGCCCTGGATCCCAAAAGGGTCCTTCCTAGTTGTGCTGGGACTGGGTCAAGTACTTCCCAGGACCCTCAGTGAGCCATGGTAGCAAAAGGAATCCCCCCAGAGTTGGCATTTGAGACTAGTCCCTTCCAAAATCACAGGTACATAAACGTATTTTAAACAACAACAAAAAAATAGTGCTACGCCACACGCTGTTCTGCACCTTGCTTGTTTTGCTTCACAAAGTAAGTCTTGGAAACACTCCCCAGGATGCTGCCTCCTTCATCCTGACACGTGCGTGCTATCCCCCGGGTAGGCGTGCCAGAATTGCTACAAGCACTCCCCTACTGATGGGCTTAGCTTGGTTCCAGCCTCTGGCTAGAGTGCCTTCTGCTGCAGTGAGCGTCCACACACACGGTGACTTCACACACATGTATCTGTGGGATCAAGTCCTGTTGTCAAGCTTCTGTCCTTGGAGGTCATCACCAGGTACACTCCCACGAGTGTGGGATGACGGTCCTGTGTGCCCACAGTGCTGCTGGGTCACTGATGGGCCATACTTTGGACTCATTGTGCCCTGCGTGACTCAACCGGGCTTGCACACGGCTTTGCAAATTCGCTTAGTCTTTCCCTGGACTCTGTCCTCTCTTTCCATCAACCAGACCCGCCCCCAGGGTGGGGACCAGTTGGTTGCTGGGTGCTCTGTTGCTCTGCTCCCTAAAAAGGTCAGAGCACAGAGGGCATTGCACCCACGGCATGGAGTGATCGGCAAAGAGTGACCTTGGGAAGCACACAGCCACAGGGGTGGCAGAGAGCGTCCCGACACCTGCCTAGCTAGGGAGGTACCTTAAAACATTGATGGTTTTAGCTGAAGGGGCCTCATCTGTCACCTCCACCGCATCCTCGTCATCAAAATACTCCTGGTAGATGTCAATGGCATTATTCTGCTTGATGCAGTGCTCCATGATCTGAGGAGAAAACATCAGGAGTTCTTAGCAGGAAAGAGAGGTACCTGCAGCCTGACCAGGCTGAGATGGCAAGAAATATCTAACGGTCTTTCCCGACCTTCCAGCCCGTTGCATTTTCAGTGGGGGCGGCATTGCTTCCAAGGGAAAATTGGTCTTGGAGGGTGAAATATTACTTTTCATGCATAAAGCACAGATATACATATAGTACATAAAGAAATAACGCCAATGGTATTAAAATTTCATGGCGGAGGCAATTAGGAAAAACATGAAAAGACTCGTTGGGGGACAACAATGAAAAAAAGGTGAAGAAACATGCCTCCAGTCGCACAGAACTGGTAATCGCTCCATATATAGCACCAATCTTCTGCTTCCGCCACCCAGAAGGCCCTCTCCATTTTTCCAAATGTCCACCAAGGAGAAACCTCAAGCTCAGGTGTCTCCTCTTCCAGGAAGCCTTCCCTGACCCCTTCAGTGGGAAACTGAATCTCCCTCTTTACGGAGCAAAATGGCAAGAGTCATCCCTCATAGCATGTCTTTCTACATTACACGGTGATATCTCTGTATTTGTCTCTGACCTCCAATGGATTATGATAAACTCTTTGGGGGCAGGGTGCATGTGAATTTTATGTTTTGCCATCTCTCCTGTGCCTGGCAGAGACTACAGGCTCAGTCCAGATGTGCCGAATGAATGAATGATCCCTGCCGGGGTTCTTTGGAGTCCTTCTTGCTCAAGGGGAGCACCTGTCAGACTCCTCCTCAAGCCTGTTCAGCCCTGGTACCTTCCCATCTTCCCCTGTGGTCTGTTGTTGTGGACTGGTCTGCCTGCTCCCAGACAGAAGGTTCCTCAAGGTACCTAGCGATGTTTGTCCGCGTCTTGGCAGGAGCGGAGCCCGGGGCCAGGCAGGTGGGGCACTGCAGTGATGGAAGCCTTACCGAGCCAAGCTGCGTGATGGCGTTGATGTAGTTCTCGTCCTTCTCCACCTTCTTCCGGAACCGGATCGTCTGCTCCAGCTCCAGGGGGTTCACATCCTTGGGCCAGCCCCCCTCCACGTGGTTAATCCCCCGGGACTCCATCTCAAACCGCTCTGTGTTGACCTACACAAAGCCCCAGGTGAGAAGATATCTGCCTGCCCCGGGTGTAAACATTAGGCCATGTCCGCAAACCAGGATCCTGGGGCTGCCTGCTCATGGGCCCTGAGCACACAGGGAGGGATCGGCGAGGTGCCCCTGGCCAAAGCCACTTTCAGGTTCCGGCAAGGAACTTTGTGGTCCTCGGGGGGGTCCTGGGTAGCCACGGAAGTGCCACCCTATGGAGCTAGCAGCTTCGAAGCTGATGCCTCTGGCCGTGGAAAATCCAGTTCTGACTTTATCGAAACCCTAATGCACCAGAGGAGCCCCCCACCCCCACCCCCGCCGGCCATTCTGTGCGATCCCAAAGAAAAAGAAGTGACTAGTCCTGCTCTGCCTTACCATTTGCAATGTCATAGGATTCGAAACACAGAAATGATGAAAAGTTGGGGATTACTTTGCCCGTTCTCGGTAGTAGGGAGGATAGTATGTGCAGATGGACGTTTACCCCTTAAACTTGCCACTTTGCTTCCTTTCCATTTGTTCCCCCATTTAAAAGATTGTGGTAGGGGCGCCTGGGTGGCGCAGTCGGTTAAGCGTCCGACTTCGGCTCAGGTCATGACCTCGCGGTCCGTGAGTTCAAGCCCCGCGTCGGGCTCTGTGCTGACATCTCAGAGCCTGGAGCCTGCTTCGGATTCTGTGTCTCCCTCTCTTTCTGCTCCTCCCCTGTTCATGCTCTGTCTCTCTATCTCAAAAATAAATAAACGTTAAAAAAAACTAAAAAAAAAATAAAAGATTGTGGTAAAAGACATACAATATAAAACCTCCCATTTTAACCATTAAAATTTTTTTTAATGTTTATTTATTTTTGAGACAAAGAGAGACAGAGCATGAGCAGAGGAGGGACAGAGAAAGAGGGAGACACAGAATCCCAAGCAGGCTCCAGGCTCTGAGCTGTCAGCACAGAGCCCGACGCGGGGCTTGAACTCACGAGCTGTGAGATCATGACCTGAGCAGAAGTCGGACGCTTAACCGACTGAGCCACCCAGGCGCCCCCCCATTTTAACCATTTAAAAATGTACGATTCTGTGGCATGAAGGACAATTCATACTGCTAGGCAACCACCAACACTGTCTAGTTCCAGAACTTTTTCATCACCCCAAGTGGAGCCCCCAAAGCCATTAAGCGGTCACCCCCCCTCCTCTTTTCCTTTCTAAGCCAGCGCTCACGAAAGCTCTAAGTCGTCCCGGGATGGAGATGTGGCAAGAGACCCCAGCGCGTGTGGCCTTCGCGGTGGCCATCCTGTTGAGTCAGCCACGCTGTGGACAAAATCGCCCCGGTCCCCGTGACAGCAATTAGCCCTGGGAGAGCAAGAGACTCAGTGTGTTTGAACCGTGAGTTATTGGAACCTCCCACAACGTGGTTTGGCCGAAGCAAGTGTGATTTTCACCCGGATGATTTGGGACATGACAAAGCGGGTTCTTCTCTCCTGGAAACTAGTTTTGTCTCCGCAGTGCCTGGCAGAGTCCAAGGCGGATCGTGGGCTCTGGACAGGCAGGGAGCTCCGACTGCAGTGTGACACCCAGTTCTCTCATCACATCATCAGCCCCTCTGACCAGAACTTTCCACGGCACCCTTTCTTTTCCACCAGCTGGGCAGGCGCCTGCCGATCTGAATCCTTGCCCCCTCAGGATACCTCTCCCAGCCGTACCACATGCCTAAGACGACTTAGAGGTGAGACCAGAGCCCATGGGAGAGAGAACATCTTGATTCCCTGGCCCAGGGAGTGGCTGCTGCCAGGTCTTTTCCCGCCCCAGGCACCGTGGTGGGTCATGGAGGCGTCTCTGTCCTCATACTTCCAGCATCCGCCCTGGGCCATTCTAACTGGCTTCCAGTCACCCAGATGGAGCCACCCAGTCCCACTGACCACCCTGGCTGGCCACCCTGCCAGACCCCACCTTCGCTGGCCCAGGCCCCGGGGCCAGGGACCCACCTCGTGTTCTGACATGCTGGTGGAGCACTGGATGCCCGTGTCCACGGGGTTCCGCTCCACGAACTGCTCGGCCAGCTCCGGGTTGGGCGGGATGTTGATGTTCAGCTCGGCCTGGCGGTCGGAGAAGTTGCATTGCTTCCCGAACTCGCTTCGCTTCTTGACATACACGTACACGATCTCCATGGTCCCGGCTGCTGCAGGGGCAGAGGGAGGGTGTGAGGGAAGGGGCCCCACCTGGCTGCTTCCCTGTCCCCCCGGGCCTCACCGGGGGCGGCTTGCAGGTTCCTAGTCTGGTTGGGGGGGAAGGGTCCTAGGAGATTTGTTCAGAAGCTGCGTCTGCACTTTTAAAAAGTCATTTATTGGGGCGCTCGGGTGGCTCATTCGGTTGAGCATCCGACTCTTGATTTGAGCTGGTCATGATCTCACAGTTTTGTGAGTTCAAGCCCCGCATCAGGCTCCGTGCCGACAGTGCGGAGACTGCTCAGGATTTTCTCTCTCGCTTTTTCTCTCTGCCCCTACTGGGTGCACTCTCTCTCAAAATAAATAAATAAACCTAAAAAATCATTTACGGAAGGGTGCCTGGGTGGCACAGTCGGTTAAGCATCCGACTCTTGATCTCTGCCCAGGTCATGATCTCACGGTTCGTGAGTTCAAGCCCCGCATGGGGCCGTGTGCTGATGGTGTGGAGGCTGCTGGGGATCCTGTCTCTCCTCTCTGACCTGTCCTTGCTCGTGCTCTCTCTCTCTCATAATACACAAATAAACTTAAATAATAAAAGATCATTTATTGAGTATTGAGTACTGAGTACCTGCTAAGCATTATCGTGTTCAGTTCTTGCAACTGCCCTTTGAGGTAGACAATAAAATCACCATTCTACCTTTCAGGAATCTCATACTTAGCGATATACCCTGGGTGTCTTGCCCAGGACCACGTATATAGCTAGTAAGCGGTTCAGCTGCTCTGCCTGACTCCAAAGCTCTTACTCACCAAATGATGCAGTTTTTACCGAGCTAACATGTTTACTGGGAGGCAGGGAGAAACACTCATGGTGATTATGTTGAACTAAATCTCCGGCCACGCCCTGGATCTGACCCTACAGCACACAGATTGGAGAGCCCCAGGCCTCTCTGGAAACTCTCCCACCCAACCACCCGATTGTCCAAAAGGCCACCCACCCCTTCCCAGAGTTCTAGGTTACTGGGCGCTACCCTTCACCGCTCCTGGGGGGCCCTTCCGGAGACTCCCCTCTACATCACTCCGACCGCGATGGGGCTGGGAGTTTGCCTGAGAAGGGGAGAGACTGCCAGACCACTTCCTCCACAGGCAGAATAGTGGGCCTTTGAAAGACTGGTTGGGCAGGGCACAGTGTGGAACTGGAAAGCGGGCTGGGCTGGGCACTGACTTCAAGTTCTGGCCCTGCCACTTGCCAGCTGCTTGACCATGGCTAGGCCACTCTCTCTGCCCCTCTCTGGCTTGTGCTCTCTCTCTCTCAAAATAAATAAACTTAAAAAAAACTAATTACATAGACTTCTCTTTAAAAAAATTTTTTTGATGTTTGTGTGTGTGTGTGTGTGTGTGAGAGAGAGAGAGAGAGACAGAGTGAGAGCCGGGGAGGCGCAGAGAGAGAGAGGGAGACTGAATCCGAAGCAGCCAGGCTCTGAGCTGTCAGCACAGAGCCCGACGTGGGGCTCGAACCCACGAACCGCGAGATCATGACCTGAGCTAAAGTCAGATGCTTAACCGACTGAGCCACCCAGGCGCCCCAAATTACATAGACTTTTCTAGGAATGCATAGGTTTTGTGAATGCCAGACTTCATGCTTTACATTTGTTCTCATAGTTTCCCTTATTTCACCTACTCATTTGGCAAACATTCACTCAACGCTGAATAATCAAGAAAGCGTGGTGCTGGCATCAGAATAGACATATGTATCGATTGAATGGCATTGAGAGTTTAGAAATAGACTTTGATACTTATGGCCAACTGACTTTTGAAAAAGGCACTAAGGCACCTTATCAGAGAAATGACGGTCTCTTCAACAAATGGTGCTGGGCCAACTAGATGTTCCCATGTGAAAGAATGACCGTGGACCCCCTACCTCACACCACACACACAAATTAACGCAAAATGGATCTCAGGCACCAGCATAAGAGCTAAAACTAAGGAGAGAAACGTAGAGGTAAATCTCCGTGACGCTGACTCTTTAGACATGGCATCAGATTCTTTAGACATGGCATCAGAAGTATGGTCCATAAAAGCAAAAACAATGATAAATTGGACTTCTTTTGAATTATCAAAAGATAATATCAAGAAAATGAAAAGACAAGCCACAGACTTGGAGAAAATATCAGCATATTGGGTCTGATAAAGGACTTGCATCCAGGATACACAGAGACTTGCGGGGTCCCAGGCGCCGTGGACTTCAGTTTAGAGGTTCCCTCACTGCATGCTCCCCACAACCCCCCCCCCCAACTCACAATTCTCATTCTACATATGAAGAAACAGTACCCGGAGAGTTCAAACACCTTGTCAAAGGTGGTGGGTCTTAAGTTGAGGCAGAGCTGGGGCCCAGACACGTCTGGCTCTACCGCAGAGTGATTCTTAGCCTTGGCTACACAGAAACTCCCAGAGGGCTTTACAAAATCACAACCCTCAGGTTAAACTGCAGACAAACGAAATCAGAATCTCTCGGCAGTAGGTGTTAAACTCCTGGGTGAATCCTAGCATATAGCCAAGGTTGAGGAGCACCGATTTTTTTTTTTTTCAACATTTATTTATTTTTGGGACAGAGAGAGACAGAGCATGAACGGGGGAGGGGCAGAGAGAGAGGGAGACACAGAATCCGAAACAGGCTCCAGGCTCCGAGCCGTCAGCCCAGAGCCCGACGCGGGGCTCGAACTCACGGACCGCGAGATCGTGACCTGGCTGAAGTCGGACGCTTAACCGACTGCGCCACCCAGGCGCCCCTAGGAGCACCGATTTAAAGTGAGGGTTCTTAATTTCTCAGCCAGCATGCTCCAAAGCTGGGATGTTCATTCAAACTATGGAGGTTCCCAGGCCCCTCTTGCAAATGTGGACTGTATGTCTGGGGCGGGGCCTGGCAATTTGTGCTTTTCACAATCTGGGTGAATATTACGACCAGACGTGTGTCTAAGCTGCCTCCTCTTACCTCCAAGGCTGCAAGGTGCCAGACCAGTGGGCCCTGGCCACTGGCGCCTGAGATGCAAGGCCAAGAGCTATTGTCACAGCCCAGAAGCACTTGCCTGGAGTGGCCTTGGGCCTTGGAGCCGCTGGGGTAGGAGTGAGGGAGTGAGGGTTATCCTAGGTCCCTTTGCATCCGCGTACGATGTTCCTCAAAGGCAGCGTCATTCCAGCCCACTTCCAGCCCCGGAACTGCTCGACCTGAGTCAGGCTCACAGGAAACAGGATCTCCCGCTCTTTCTCCTGGTCTGGAAACTCTCTTGTAACCCGGGAAAGGTAGAGGCCATGGCTCGGACAGCAGAGGATGGGAACAGAAACACAAGTGGCAGAAGTTGCCCCAGTGTGTCCATTCTACATGGGCAAGGGTAGGGCCTTGTGAAGACGACGGTCAGTTCTCGCCTTCACCAGCGCCCTGCGGAGGGGCCACAGCGCTGCTCCTGGGCCCCCACAGTGACGACGGGCTGCCTGTCTCTCCCTCTGGTAAAAGACACTTGCTGCAAAAGCCAGTTCTCTGGGGACACAAGGAGGCTTAAGAACGTGAGGAAACTCCAGGGGCGCAAAAATAGCCTCTTTAGCCCAGATCATATGTGAAACAGCTTCGCTTTCCTCCTTGGTGCCTCCCAAGGCCAAGCCAGGGGCGAGAACGGAGGCATTGTTTTCTATCTGGTGGCAGACAGAGGGGACATTTAAAGGCTGGCCCGGTGACGGGAAGACGGCTCATTCAGGGACCCAGAGTGAGCTCTTTCTCCCAAGCCGGCAGGGCCCGAAGATGAATAGCGAGGTCAGAGCAGGGGTCTCAGGAGGTCTCTCCCCGCCCTGGTGAGACAGAGGCCGCCGGCTGCAGAGCTGTCTGCCTGTAGCGGGGGGATGGCAGGGGGGGCTTCCAAGGGAGGCGGGGGCAGTACTGCTGCTCTTTGGGAGTTTGGGGAGGAGGGTCTCCCACCCGTGGGAACCTAGAGACCCAGGGGCAAGCGGGACTCTGCAGCGAGTCCCAAACATAAGAACACGTCTGGCTGGGGACGTGCTGGCGTGAACATCAAAACTGCAACCGTCTCCCGCGTGCCAGGACGGTCAGACTGGGACCTCCAGCAGTTAACAAAAACTCCTCTCGCGTAATGATGAGGCGCACCGTGATTCCTGGAAAGAACTTCCCTCGACTTAAGAGAAAGTGTGTTTTCCAAGCTTGGGTGGGGCTGAGGGAGCTGCGGGGCGGAGGGGCTCCGTTTGGGAGCTTAGTGTAGAGGCAAGAGGAAGGTGGCTGGCCTTCCCTCCGCGCTGGACTCCACGCGATATAGACGCGAGAACATTTTCCCCTTCCTTGTGGTCCCTGGGGCAGCCCTTAGTCTTTGTGCCTGGGACTGATGGCCTCTTTGTGGCCTCTATGTGGCCTCTATGTGCCCCTGGCTGGGCAGAGGAACACAGGTGGAGAGCTTCCTTCCCTCTTTCTTATGTCCTTGTGCACCTTCTGGAATACGGGGTCCTTCAAATGAGACAGACCTCGCTAGGAATCCACCCTGCCCTCCCTCACCAGGGCATCCCACCAGGGCAATGCTAGGCACACTGGGGTCCACCTGGGGTGAGCTCCAGGTGGAGGGGGAGGACAGGCAGAGGTGGGACGAGGTCCCCAGAACCGAAGGGTGCTGTGTTGGTGGTAACCTGCTCTCCCCACTACAACACTGTCTCCTTGAGGGCAGACTGTGGTCTTTTCATCCATCGTCATCCCCAGTGCCTGGTGCAAGAAGGAGCCCAACGCTCCCACTGTGAGCATGCTGAGGGCCAGCAGGGTCCCAGGGCTCTCTCCTAGAATTCTCTCTCCCCTCCTTTTCCTTTTCTGATTGGAAAAACAAAGCAGAGCTAGGGGTGAGAGGGGGAATCACAGGGTCTGAACGCCCGGGAATGCACTTCTGTGGTTCAAGAGAGCGTGATCAACCTGGAACGCGTTGCAGGAAGGTGAAGCTAAGCGTGTGACCTTGAACGTGGTATCCCAGTGGGCATAAGGGGCGCCTGGGTGGCTCAATCCTTTAAAAGCATCCGACTCTTGATTTCGGCTCAGGTCGTGATCTCACGGTTTGTGGACTCGAACCCTGCATCCAGCTCTGTGCTGACAGCACGGGGCCTGCTTGGGATTCTGTCTCCCTCTCTCTCTCTGCCCCTCCCCTGCTCGTTTTCTCTCTCTCAAAATAAAAATAAACTAAAAAAAAAAAAAATGTCCCCCTCAGGTTGGGGAGTAAATAAAATCATGCATTTTAGGGGACCTGCTGCCTAGTCCGTGCTCAGTAATTTTGAATTCCCTTCCTTCCTTTCTTATGAGAAAGCTCACCTCCCGCCAGTTCAGCCCAGACTCTGCTTTCCCGCCAGCCAGCTGTGAACCCTTTAGAGGTCTCCCTCCCTCCAAGAGACCCGGGGGGATCAGGGCCAGACCGACTGGGAGCAGGGGGTGGAGGAGGCAAGGTGACCAGAGCCTGCGTGGTCTGGGGAGTCGCGAGGACTGAGGGCAGCCGGGAGGAATGGGGCGCGGACACCTGGCCCCCCACCCTCCGGCAGAGCTGTCCCAGGAGGCTGCCCCCACGGAGAGTTTCTGGCACTGTCGCTGATTATTACCCTCAGGGGCTCCCTGCTTCTCTCTCCTCTCCTCCTCAGCCTCGGCCTCCTCCCGGCCCGCGCCCTTACCCTCGTCCGCTCGCTCGCGTCGCCGCCTGGCCGCGGGGGAAGCACCTGAGACGCCGCCACCGGGCTTCTCCAACGGCTCCGAAGTACGGCGTTTACCCGTTGCCTAGCAACCCCCCGGCTGGGCCAGGACGCGGGGGCGGAGGGCGCCCCAGAGCACGTGACTGCCCATCCCGCTGCGTCGGAAGCACTCCCTCTTGTGGAAGTCTCCAGAGTCGGGAGAAAAATTAACCAAGCCAATCAAACACTGGCAAGAATAGACGTTTGTGTCATCTCTGTGAAGGTGCTTATCCAAGTCTACAAAAAACGCACCGGGCAAGATCCTGAGACGATGCAAACTATTGTAGACAGCGCCTCGGAAGTCATGCGCCCTGGTTGGTGATGCCGGGCTCTGCTACTTATTTCCCTGTCGCCTGGCAGGTTGTCTTCCTGTCCCTTCCGTCGGGTCCCTCAACCACTCACTGGGAATTAAAACCCCCCAGTCACCCCTGTGCTACCTTATCCCGGGCACCTCGTGCAATAACCAAGCCCCGGAAAGTGGGGCGGGGTGTTTCCACAGCTTAGCTGCTGGTTGTAAACAGGCAGTAAGTGTTCACTGAATGCATGAATGAATACGACGAAGTTTCTCCTGGGGTTAAGGCAATGAAGCAAGATAATGTAAAAGGGGAGTGGGGTATGGGTGGGGGGGGAGGGCTAGCTCACGTGGGTTTGAATCCCAGCTGGGCCATTTACTGATCGTATGACCTTGGGAGAGTTACTTTCTAAGACTCAACCTTCTTTAAAAAAAATTTTTTTTTAATGTTTGTTTATTTTTGAAAGAGAGAGAGAGAGAGGGTGCACGAGCGGGGGAGGGGCGGAGGGGGGGACAGGGGAGATAACAGCCGAAAGCCCGTTTGGGGGTCAAACTCAAGAACTGTGAGATTGTGGCCTGAGCTGAAGTTGGACGCTCAACCAACTGAGCCACCCAGGCGCCCCGAGACTCCTGGGGCAGACAGTGACAGAATTGGGAGACACAACTGAGACAACACAGCAGGGTGCCCATGGCTGTCAGCTCTGGACTTCCCATCTCAGGGAATCAGGCTAACCAAGTGTAGGGATGGGTGCTGGAGATCTGGACGGGGGTAGACAGGGGATGTGTCAGCCCCAAAAGTGGGATTTGGGGTTGGAACTGGTCTTGACAAATGGTGGTAAGTCGCAGGGGAAGGCGTGGGGAGAGCATTCCAGATTGGGGGGAGGGCATGGTGTATGCAAGGGAGGGGCATTTGTGATGGAAGAAAGACACTTGGGGGAGGTTGACGCATCATTGTGGCAGGAGTTGACGGTCCCTGTAGGGGAGAAAATCAGAGGAATTTGCAAAGGCCAGCTGGGGCCAGTTTGTGGGGTGTCCTGAGAGGAAGGCTGAGGCATCTGGACAGCTCCCTGTGGGTTTTTGGAGCTGTCAGATTACAGGAAGAAAGCAAATGTCCCCAACTCTGGCTCCCCAACTTCTCCATAGTGTGTCTTCGCCACTAGTCACCTGCCTTTAACTGGGCAGGTGCAACAGAATTCCCAGCACGATGGCACTTTGCCCAAACATACTAACAAGCCCCACAGTGACGGCTGCCACCAACCCCCCCTCCCCTCCCCCCGGCCCTTGCTCCCACCAGCGTCTGTAAGCAAAGGGTTTCCTCGGGGTGGGCGCTGAGGGTGTTGTTGGCGGCTGGGTGCAGGAGCGTCTAAAAGCCCCACCGAACTGGCTTTGTGTGCTCAGAGGCAAATCAGACCCAGACAAAACATCCAGAAGAAACAGATCGGCTCCACAAAGGAGCGCTGGCTGGTTGGGGCTGGAAACATAGGCATCCTCCTCCCCCTCCCCCTCCCCCACCCCCAGCCCTGGAAAGAGGAGACCCTCTGTGCACACATTATTCCCTGGGTGGGGAAGTGGGAGCAGCGTACCTGCAGCCACCTTTCTCTTGGGATCGCAGTGATTTATTTACAGGTTCCCTCCCCCCATCCTTCCCTGCACTCAGAAGGCATCCAGTGCTTCCAACAGCCTTGGGCACCTCTGTTCTCTGGCAGAACAGCCGTCACCCCTTGGCAGGTCTGTCTCAGCTGCGCCGGCCGGGAAAGCCAGCATGAGGTCGTATCATTAGGAGTTTGCACAGGGATCCTGTTAAAAACAATTTTCAATTCTCTCTGATCTCTGCCCAATCACAGGGCAATGGACTCCTGGAATCCTTGGCTGAAGGCGCCCCCCCCCATATCCCCCCCCCCCAGGCCAGTCCACAATCCATTGCACTGCTGTCTTCCCCCACCTGTTCTTTTTCCGATTTTTTTCTATCAGAGTAAAATACACAGAACACAAAATGTATCACCTTAACCATATTTAAGAGTTCAGTTCAGCAGCATTAAGTGCACTTACAACGTTGGGCCACTGACCATCTCCAGAACTTTTTCATCTTGCATAACTGAAACTCTGTAGCCATGAAACCCTAACTCCCCATTTCCACCTCCCCCACCTCCTGCCACCCAACAGTCCTACCTTCCGTCCCTATGATTTTGACTACTCTCAGCACCTCAGAAGTGGAATCACACGTTGTCTTTTCGTGATTGGCGTATTTCATTCAGCATAATGTCTTCAAGGTTCAGCCAGGTTGTAGCCGGTGTCAGAATCCTCTTCCTTTTGGGGCGCCTGGGTGGCTTAGTCAGTTAGGCATTTGACTTCGGCTCAGGTCACGATCTTAGTTTGAGATCGAACCCCGCATCGGGCTGACAGTGCAGAGCCTGCTTGGAATTCTCTCTCCCTCTCTCTCTGCCTCTCCCTAACTTGTGCTCTCTCTCAAAATAAATACATAAACTTAAAAAAAAAAAAGAATTTTCGGGGTGCCTGGGCAGCTCAGTCGGTAAGCATCCGACTTCAACTCAGGTCATGATCTCAGG